CCCCAAAACCCCAAAACCCCAAAACCCCAAAACCCCAAAACCCCAAAACCCCAAAACCCCATTTCAGTTTTGTTATATTGAATTAACTATATTTCTGCCATCTTCCCAAATCGAGACCCTCTAAATTCCAAAATCGCCTCCAAAAGATGTCAAGATCCCGTAAAAAGAATGAAAAAAGTTAAGATTTTTCCAAACACAATTTCCTCACCTCGAATTTCACCTATTCGAAATTCTGTGACATCCATTACAGTCCTCACCTTCAAATAGTGCTCAAAAATATTATTATAAGGAACGCTTCCTTAGAAGGAGCTTGAGATAAGCTACCTAAGATCAAGGAAAACCTCTCATCCAGACTAATAGCTGTACGACCTTAGCTTAAAATTTTACTAACATGATTCTAGACTTTGAAAAATACTTCTCAAAATTCATCGATGTCTTCTATCTTTAAAACAAACGAAAAGATTTAAGCTAAACAAGAAGAAGACCGCCAGCCAGATCATGTTCACAAAATTAGTGAAGAAGTACCCTCCCAAACCTGTGTAAGCCAGTCCGAGAGTTAGGTTATAGAGGATTGAAAACACACGGGAAACAAATCCGTTTGAATTATAGTGGAGTTAGAACCAAGCACCCCAGTCCTAACAATACTATGATAAAAGATAGCTCCAAAGAGTTTTATCCGAACGTCTCTGAGTTTCCTCCAAACCCAATGTCTACTAAATTCAAGCGGAAATTAAGCGTTCGGAAGACCAAGACGAACAAAAACAAGACTGAAATCTCAATGTTCTATAAATTTCAAAAGAAGTCAAAGCCTCAGCAGAAGTTAAAATAACAAAACTAAGATAAAAATTTTTAACCAGATAAAATAAAAGAATGTTGAATATTTCCACGTCAAAATCCAGAAAATCCAAGTCTAAAGAAGGCAAATTTGCCAAAAGCAAGAAAATTCTCAACTCGAATTCGAATAAAATTCGGCTTAAGAAGAACAGGAGGAATACAGAGTTTATTAATAAAGCCCCTACTTCACCATTGACTCTCCTGGATAACTCCTTGTCGAGGAGGAAGAACAGCCAGTTGTTGATAGATATTGATAAAAACCAGAAACTGTATCACTTAGTATGCGCAAAGTCGACTACTAATTCAAGAAAGAATTCGGTGACCTTCACAAAGATCCCTGCACAAGTGTAAGTTAACTTCTTGGATTGTTTATAGCAAGAGTAAGACAAATATACTTATTGATGGGCTAAAGTTTCATCCCAAGAATCAGAAGATGAACAGCTCTAAAGCTACCCTTCTGGAATCACAGACTGACCTCAAGAAGAGAGGAAAGGAGAGCTTTAAGGGTGACAAAAAGATGAAATATTTACTCGAGTTCAAGAGACAGAAGATGGCTCAGTCCAACCATCTCTTCGGGAAAGATAGGTACGGCTAATTTTCCGGTGCCAATAATGATCTAATAAATAATTTAGCAAGAAAGTTTCGTTTATCAAAAGTAAAAATCGTGGTATGAAAGATCCACCAGCATCAAGCACTAACTTCTCCACATCATTAGGCTCTAATCCAGTGAGAGAAGGTAATCTAATAACTTATGTTCAGAGGAGACCAAGAGCAACCAGAAGAAGGAAGAGATCTCACAAATTAATGAGAAAGGATCATCTGAAGAGAAGTCTTCAGATGATAAAGTTTCAGGTAATTCTACCAACTCTTATTTCTCCATGAATCTCCGAAAATTAGTTCTCAAATTTATGAATTTTTCCTACATTTTCTAGTTAAGTAATTTTATCTAAAATAGGTGAAGCAGGGGAACAGATCGAGGAATACACTGATTTACCCTCGTACAGACAGAAGGAAGAATATACAGGACTTGCTAAAAATAAGAGGTATTTCGACAACCAAGAAACATGGGAGGATGACGACACTATTTTTGATGAAGAGCTTAAAGAAAAGCATAATGAGCTTCTTGTCGAAGATATGCTCTCAAATCTTCACAATAGCTCTACAGCGGCTCATAAACCAAAACCTAAGAAAGACAGAGAGTCCTTTGATATCGACATTCGGGCTCTAGTTAAGCAAAAGGAGGAGAATAATATGAAAATTGAAGAGAACAAAGAAGAAACTAAGGAAGATTTGTCAGAAAGTAACTCTTCCAAAGAAGAGTCTCACCTCTCTTATTCGCAGACAACTTCTAAAATTTTGGATGCTTCTTACCAAAGTGACCTTGTTTGAGTGGATGAGTCGCTTGAGAAGAGGAAAAGAGGCAAGGAGTCTGTCTCTAAAATGGAGAAGTTTAAAAATATGGTTGATGGATCAGTCTCCCAACACATCTCTATTACATCTAGTACTCAAGATGTCAACTTTCATAAGGATGAAGAAGATCAGTATGGATCAATTAAAGTGTCTAATATCTTTAATTATCTCCCTGATGGAGCGATCAGATCTCAGAAGGATAACTTTCAAGAGATCAGTGAGGCATTAGACACTATCAAAACCAAGATGAACATTGAAGAGGACAATAACAACTGATTGCTCCTTCCAAAAATGAAGACTCCAATGAACTATGGGATTCGAGGAGCCGTCTATGATTTCATATATATGATGGATAAAATTCCAGAGCCTGAATTAGAATTTTTCCCAGATGCTTTCCGGGAATAAGCCTTAAAGCTATTAAATTTTACTCCTAAGTATTTTGGTTTAGACTAGTTGTTGAGATGTCCGTAGTAAAAAATATTCCCCATTTCTCTCTATACAGGTTTGAATTGTCTACACTGTACTGGTACATCAAGATACTATATTATTTACACATTTTAGTTGGTCACCTTCCAACATCCATGAAAAGTTACTTAGTCAACAAATGTTTTTACAAACGAGCCTGAAAAGTGAATTCCATTAGTCTTGTATTGGATTTCACAAATTTTGCTTTACGAATAAAATCAGCTTTACTTGTTAATAATATATTAAATTTTAAAATAATTGCCTAAGTACCCTTCAGGGGTTTTGGGGTTTTGGGGTTTTGGGGTTTTGGGGTTTTGGGGTTTTGGGG